TTTGTACTTATTTGTTGTATTTTATTTATTTTTACATTATTTATTATTACATATTAGGCGTATTGCATACTGGTCAGTGTACTGATAGTATGCACTAAGCCATAGCTTGTATTCTATTGAATATGACCCTATTTGTCTGACATATCAAATCTGTCGGACTGTTTTCTTTCAGGTCTTGTTGAGCTGCTGTCCCGCGCACAGTGCAGTCGTGTGGAGGACCAGCGTGGTTTACTCACCAAAGAGCAGCTGGAATTACCGCAGTTCCTGCAGCTGCCAGCAGGGAAAGAAGAGCAGACTTCCTGCGACCAGACACAGGAAGAGGATTGTGCCCTTTGACCTTGAGAACCATTCAAGCACTATTCAAGCAACTTAAGACTCAAATCCGTTAGCTGTATGGCAGACTGGAGGAGAGAAACTCTGATAAGGTTACGCAAGTGTGTGTATGTGAGAGAGAGAGAGAGCGTTGAGGTTTCTTAACCTTGAGAGTGATTGTGTAAGGTGTATATTTTGTATATTACAGACACTGCCATGTAGAGCTCTTAGAAACGCTGCCTGTCAAATAATGCAAAATTATGGAAAGTTGCCTTAAAAAAAATCCAACTACATTTGCCTGCTAAAACAATTGTATTTATTTTCATATCAGATTGTATTTTGTGCTCTTATTTATCAGAACATATTTGGTATGGGAACACATTAGTATGACTTTATATTAAGTGTTTTTTTGTTCACAGTGAGTTTTAGTGTCTGATTAAAAAAGGTTTTGTGTGAGCTATTGTGGGAAACTGCACTGTGTTGCGTGTGATTTTAGGCACTTTGTTTCGTGTGGTGACACAATCTGATATGAAATGAGACAAGCAAGGTCATATTTAATTTTTACATTTATTTCAAATTTCCTAAATTAAATGTCATTTCCACTCCATGTCGTTCCAAAACTGTATGATTCCCCCCCAGATCATTCATTTAAATTGTTTGTGTATTATTTGGCTAGTGCTGCTCTTTTGTGTAAAATGAAAATATATATTGGACAACACTTAGTTTAAATTTATAATTATTGGATTTTTCTCTAGTTCTCAGACAAATGTCAGAATTATGAAATATAAACTCGGAATTCTGACTCACAATTCTACAAGACAATTCTAAATTGACATCTTGCTATTCTGATTTTACATAACACATTTGCCTGATAAAAATAAAGGTAATTGTGACTATCTCACAATTCAACTCGCAATTGCGAGTTTACATTTCACAGTTTGGACTAATCAGAATTGAGAGTTCTTGCAAATCTGACTTTATATCTCGCAGTTGTGAGAAAAGTAAATTGTAAGAGTCCAGTTACCTAAAACCGGAGTAAACAAGTTCCAAGCTATATTCCAGATCTTCTCAAGTCATGCAGGCTTTCATGGTACTGTATGAGCAAAGAGCAGTGTGAACCTTCAAAATGTCTCCTTTCCTCCTACAAAAAGTTATACAGGTTTAGAACAGCGTGAGGGTGAGTAAAAGATCATTACATTTCCTTTAAATGCATCTCTACTTTGATATTGAGTCATGTACTGTCATTTCAGCTAGAGCAATGAAGCCACATTATCAGTCTTTTGCTGTTTTTCTCTAGTGTGTGTAGAATGTGTCACTTCCTCTCTGATATGGTTGTCTCAGATTCGTTTTGTCTGAAATACAGTTGATAAGGGCAGCATTACTGTGTTGTTATTAACTAAAACTATTAAAAATCATTTTTGATAATTAAAATATTTTGATAACTAAAATATAAATATAAAAAACTTACACAAGTTATTAAAACTGAAAATATAATGCTGAATGGGAAAAAACCCAATAACCTGTGTGTGTATTCGTACCGAGTCTTTCAGTTTGGTACACGTGTAGGCCTATTGAACAAATACGGCATTGTTTTAACCACTGCACAAGTGGAATTTCGATTTATATACTGTTACTTTTGATATGAAGCAAAGTCTCATCTTTAAAATTGTCCGTTTTTTTTCAGGAAATTCAAACAATAAATGCCATTTTGATGCTCTTTGATGTGGCGCGACAGATAGCTGTATAAACGCCTCCGTTCAAACGGCACCATGGAGTGCGAGTGAGCGATCATCCTTTCCTCTTTACTAATTTTAATGCGAAATAAACATGAATGAACAACTCATGCTTCATGTAATCACTCAATCAGTGTTTCAACCGCAGAAAGACGTCAAAACAAAACGTCACGTAGCATTTCATTTACCTCAGGCAAGTCATCATTGTCCACAGCTTGTTAGTTCGCTAGAGAAATTAAGAAAATTTGTGAAATATTAGACTATGTACTCATTAGATTTTACTTTACCTGTTAGTGATGTCTTAATTATTTAATGTATGTTTAAATAAATGTTATGAAACGCGTTATGCCACTGTGTAAATGAATACATTTCAACAACAAATAAAAACTGTATTGTAATTTAGAAGTTAATTTAAAAACTGCATTATGTGTAGGCTAGTTAATTTTGAGCTCCGTTGTTAATTGTAACCTTAGTCATTTTGGAGCATGAGCAGAGGTAGATATTTATCCCTAAGAAATTTTTAATTGCAATTGAATTTATTTAAAGAAAGCAATTTGACACACACACATACACACACTATATATATATATATATATATATATATATACACGTTATCCCTACAAAGGTAAACAAACATTTTGTCCCCCATTTACTTTAATAGCAGCATCAATGTCACTCATTTGCTCTTGATTACTCGCCAACTGAAAATATTTTAAAATAAATTTTTCGTCATTTCACATTGTTTTCAATAATCCTGAGACTTCATTTTGACGTTTTAATCAGACACATTGATTTGAACAATAAAAAGGTTGCTTTATGTGATTAAATATTGCCAAAAACATGGTCACATTTGTATGCATTTTAGTGTTCAACTGTTTCCAGCCCTTCATCTCTCTCTGTCTCACCTTCATCATTCTCTTACACTCATCAGTAGTGCGTGTTCGTGACTTGGCTGGTGGGTGTGTATACTTGTCTGTGAAATTATGAATGGGATGTGTGTGTGTGTGCATATATGTGAGAGAAAGAAAAAGGGAGGGATGGAAAGACACTGCATCGTGAAAGGAGAAGGATTCACTAACTCGCTGCTCACCTTCACAGACAGACAGGAGAAGGGTAAGCCATCATCTATTTCCGTTTTATCATCCTTCCATTATAATCAGATGATTAATAGTATGTTTTTATTGTATTTGTGTCAGTATTGTGTAATGTGCTCCTGTCTTGAACACCAGGATGTGTGTGTTACACTGGTGTATTTGTATGCAGCAGTTGTTCCAGAATCACTGAAGGGCGATTTGACTCAAACTGCTTCCTATTCTGATGATTTGTGTTTAGTAACATGGACTAAAATGGTGTTTGTTTCCTGACATTCAGAGCCTTGGTTCTGATGTCATGATGTTAGACAGCAACTCTTGCTCTGTAGTGTCTATGGAAGAGGATAATGTGTCTATTTCTGTCCTCCCCACTGTTTTCTTTTAATAATTTATTACAAACAACAAATGAAGGTGTTCGTGTGTTAAGTATGTACTGCAGGTCTGACTCACAGAAATGTCATCACAGCATGAGAATATGACTGACATGACTAAAACTGATGTTAAAGAGATAGTTCACCCAAAAATGAAAATTGTCATTTACTGAAAGATATTTTGAAGAATGTTGGTAACCAAACTGCTGACTGTAGCCATTGACCATACATTTTTTTATACTATGGAAGTCAATGGCTATCATCAGCTGTTCTTCAAAATATCATCTTTTGTGTTCGGTATATGAAGTTGTATCAGATGTTTGATAGTTATATACCAGAGAGAAAGGAAAAATTTAAATCGCATCATATGACCCCTTTAAATACAAGATGCGTTACTATGGTAATACTACGGTATCTTTTGGTGTCCAAGTTTTGATGATGTTTTTAGCTCTTTTCTAACATCATACCAACTTTAATGCGTTTAGGTCTAAATATTAGCAAACCTTGAATTGATCGAAAGTACAGAGAGACAAATTTGCATTGCCGTTCAAATGAGTCTTTAAAGAGTTAACACTGATTTGAATACGTTTCTCGACCTTCAGAAAGATGATAGTCTCTCTCTCAGCATTATTAAATCCTCATTTGAATTACAGAACGTGCTGATAGGTTTTACATAAGTCCTCTTAATTGAAACGTAGTGCGAGGTCACATCTCACCTCACCCTTGTTTCACGTCTAAATCACTTCATTGGTTTTATGCCTCTTTTTTTCAGCCTCTGTCTTGTGTTTTGCACAGAACTGAACAACTGGATCTAAAGTCAAGTGTTATTGTTATTATTGCTCATTTCTGAGGTTTGAGTATTGTTCAAAACCCCACAGTAAAGAGGGAAAAATCATCCATTAGATCAGTGGTTCTCAACGTTCTCAACCCAATATTTGAAGGCTATCTCTGGTATTTTTGTTGTATTTATGACTAAGCTGCTTGTTGTTTTTTTTATTAACAAACTTTAATAATTGGTTGATTTAACCACAATTCACAATTTCAGAAGTTTCAAGAGCTGTTCATTTAAAAAGTGTGTGTATGTACTGTACATATTTAAATATGCAAGAGTTATATATAATTTCAATTTTCATTTGGATTTTTTTTTGACCATTTTACCTTTGTTGTTATTAGTTGTAATGCAGTTGTTAAATAAATAACTTTAATATACTAAAATAAAATTGAAATGTATTTATCATATTGAATAAATTACATATCTCAATTATGCAATATGATAAATATATTTAAATTTCCATTGACTGTTTTTCATGTTAGTGATTATTTTATTATATAATGTATGTAATCTATATAATTGCATACATTAAATGATCATAATACAATTATATAAATATCTATCATTTATATCTATAGTTTATGCACTTAATACATTTATTTCAAGTTATGACTTAAGAAATTTAAAGTTTAGAATATAATTTTATTGTAGTATAGAGTATATAGTGTATATAATTTTATTATATAAGTTGTAATGTGTATATAATTGCATGCATTAATATATAATACAATTATATAAATTATAAATCTATATTCTATAGTTTATGCAATATAACAAATACATCTCAAGTTATGGTTTAAGTATTTAAGATTATTATTATTATTAAAAATATATTTTTTATAGTGTGTGTATATAGAGCATACAGTACATTTAGAGTGAAGACTTGTATAGTTATTATTAATGGTTAATGTTATAGAATTAATAATATTTTATCATTATTCAAAGTTTATTAATTTAAATACTTTTGAGGCTCTCTTGTACAACCCCCAGGCTGAGAACCAATGCAGTACACTTTAGACTTAGTGAAAAAAATCTATTGGTTGCTTAATACTCTAACCACGCATAAACCGTATTTTCTCAAAAACATAAACATGCACATACATGTTACTTAAATATTATTGTTGCCCAGTTTGTGCTGAATACAGTGTAATCAGACTATAGCAGTTAAGATGTTTTTAAGAAACTGAAAAAACAAATGTCAGGGCATGTCAAAACTTCTCCAGGGCCCCAAAAACCCTTTTAGCAACCACCTTGAACACGCTAGAAACCACAGCAGCCTCTTGAAAAGCTTTCCCACCATGTTTTTCTGTCCTAGAGAGCTAAAAGGACAACGTTGTGTACGGCTCACAGAACAATGTTTGAATCATGAAGATCACTGGTTATCATTCAGATATCCGCTCATCTGAGCATGTGTGTGTGTGTGTGTGTGTGTCACTGTATCGTGGTCTCTCTGGCTCAGAAACGTCACCTTTAGTGTTATTCGACTCACTGGTGTGGATGAATCGATAGGAAGTGTGTCTTCCTCCTCTCGAGCCACAGAGCTCTTCACAGTGACACCAGAACATTGAGAGTTTAACCTCTCACACTTTC